AATGAAGAGAGTAACTTCAAGAGAATTCGATTTGAGAACTTAATCTTTGCAATCCAAAAATAAGAGATGAATTGGTACAAATATGTATAACTATACAACAGAATAAGAATCTCGAAGCAGGACAAATAATTAATGTCCAATGAAACATAACGCATGGTATTGATTTAACATTTATAAACATACGAGTTAAGTTCAATGAAACAAAATATTTGTCTTTACTAGAATGTCAAGTAAATGTAGCTCCTTCTTAGAACAAATAATTCAATTCATTATTTTAAATATATTTAATATGCTCTCTCTCCCTCTCTTTCTCTCTCTCTCTCTTTCTCTCTCTCTCTCTCTCTCTCTCTCTCCTTCAATATTACTAATAACACAGTGAATGTAAGTTCCGGTATGTTTATATAATTAATGAAATGTACAAAGAATGAAATTGTTTCCCTGTTTGCTTTGAATGTGAGGGAGTGTGGTTGTCAGCCTACGATGGGGCGTTTCTGGGAAAGAATGGGGTTGTGTTCAAGTTACTTCCTTTATTGTGCTACGGCCAAAGTATGAATAACAGAAAATTTATATTAATTTTCCCAATATCAGTGCATAATATTGTAAATTTCTACAATACAATTGTTTTGACATGTTTATTTTCAAAATATTTGATTATGCATACCCGGCGGCGGCTGACACCGAAAATTGTCGTGAGGGTAAATATGTCGGTAATGATGTTGGTGTTGCGACTGTTCCTTCAGTGTTGGTGTTGCGACTGTTCCTTCAGTGTTGGTGTTGCAACTGTTCCTTCAGTGTGGGGTTGCAACTGTTCCTTCAGTGTTGGTGTTGCGACTGTTCCTTCAGTGTTGGTGTTGCGACTGTTCCTTCAGGTTGGTGTTGCAACTGTTCCTTCAGTGTTGGTGTTGCAACTGTTCCTTCAGTGTTGGTGTTGCGACTGTTCCTTCAGTGTTGGGGTTGCGACTGTTCCTTCAGTGTTGGTGTTGCGACTGTTCCTTCAGTGTTGGTGTTGCGACTGTTCCTTCAGTGTTGGTGTTGCGACTGTTCCTTCAGTGTTGGGGTTGCTGCTGCTCCTGCCATTCCTGCTATATTGCTACTAATGCTCTTCTTGCTATGCTGCTGCTGCTGTTCTTGCTATGCTGCTGCTGCTCCTCCTGATTTGTTGCTAGTACTACTAGTATTCATGCTACGTTGACCGCGGCGCATGGCTCTCTCTTGAATTATGAAGACCAAAACTCAACCATGCTTGCCTGCCTGCCACCTTGCCTGCCTGCCACCTTGTCTGTCTGAATGCCTGTCTGCCAGCCTGCCTGCCAGCCAGCCTGCCTGCCAGCCAACTAGACCGTCACCAAGCCACTCAGACTGCCAATCCAGCATGCCAGGCAGCTAATCGTCTAGACAGACAGCCAGCTAGCCAACCAAACAGCCAATCTTCCAGCCAGTCGTTCACCCAAACAACCAGTCAGTCAGCCAGCCAGCCAGCCAGTCAGACAGACAGACAGACAGTCAGGGAGCCTACCAGCCAGCCAGACAGCCAGACAGACAGACAGTCAGGGAGCCTACCAGCCAGCCAGACAACCAGCCAGTCGGCCAGTCAGCCAGCCAGACAGACAAACAGACAGTCAGGGAGCCTACCAGCCAGCCAGACAACCAGCCAGTCGGCCAGCCAGCCAGCCAGTCAGACAGACAGACAGACAGTCAGGGAGCCTACCAGCCAGCCAGACAGCCAGCCAGTCAGCCAGACAGCCAGACAGCCAGACAGCCAGCCAGACAGCCAGCCAGCCAGACAGACAGACAGCCAGACAGCCAGCCAGACAGACAGCCAGCCAGCCAGCCAGACAGACAGCCAGACAGCCAGACAGCCAGACAGCCAGCCAGCCAGACAGCCAGCCAGACAGACAGCCAGCCAGACAGCCAGCCAGACAACCAGACAGTCAGACAGCCAGACAGCCAACCAGACAGCCAGCCAGACAGCCAGCCAGACAGGCAGCCAGACAGCCAATAGGGCAACAATGGAGACACCTACTAACGAGCTTGACGCTAAAGTAGGCCACGCCTGTATGCCGTGAGGCACGTAGAAGAAAGGCTTTGCCCTACACGGACACGGACAGCAAACCCAGGTGGTCTGGGACGTGCCCGGTGGTGGTGTCACGGAGGAACACCCTGGAGGGGAGAGGCGCACGGTGGGGACACGCACAAGGTCTTCCTCCTCGACTCACACACACACACACACACCTATATACACGACCTAGTTGGGTTTGGTAATGGGGTGAAGGTTACTGGGGGGGGACTGCTGTTGCTGCTGCTGCTTATTCTCAGTGGTTATCTTGAGGTTATCTTGAGATGATTTCGGGGCTTTAATGTCCCCGGGGCCCGGTCCTCGACCAGGCCTCCACCCCCAGGAAGCAGCCCGTGACAGCTGACTAACACCCAGGTACCTATTTACTGCTAGGTAACAAACTAGGTGGTAACTAGGTGGTGGTGGAAGTGCTGTTGTGCTCTGGTGCTGTTGTGCTCTGGTGCTGTTGTGCTCTGGTGCTGTTGTGCTCTGGTGCTGTTGTGCTCTGGTGCTGTTGTGCTCTGGTGCTGTTGTGCTCTGGTCCTGTTGTGCTCTGGTCCTGTTGTGCTCTGGTGCTGTTGTGCTCTGGTGCTGTTGTGCTCTGGTGCTGTTGTGCTCTGGTGCTGTTGTGCTCTGGTCCTGTTGTGCTCTGGTGCTGTTGTGCTCTGGTCCTGTTGTGCTCTGGTCCTGTTGTGCTCTGGTCCTGTTGTGCTCTGGTCCTGTTGTGCTCTGGTGCTGTTGTGCTCTGGTCCTGTTGTGCTCTGGTCCTGTTGTGCTCTGGTCTGTTGTGCTCTGGTGCTGTTGTGCTCTGGTGCTGTTGTGCTCTGGTGCTCTTGTGCTCTGGTCCTGTTGTGTTCTGGTGCTGTTGGTTGTGATGTTGTTGCTTAATGGTGCTATTGAAAGTGACGCTGTTCACGGTGTTCTTAAGGTTAGTGATGGCTCAGTTTGTTAAGGAGGAGGAGGAGG